AAAGGCATCAACATTGAAGGGAGATTAATAATCTGATAACACAATCTTACTTGCTGAAAACAAAGAAGACCTGAAGTGATTATCCTGGTAAGGTTCAAAGAATACAGCCTGCATGATGTGTTACAAATGAACTTAAAGAAAACTAATATCTTCACAACCTCACCAGTAAACATCACGATAAACAAAGGAGAACTTGAAAGTGTAAATGATTTAATTTAAATGGGATCAACATTCAGTATCCGTGGAAGCAGCAGTAAAGAAAATAACATATTGTATTGGACTTCCCAACAAAGTCTACAATTATCTCCAAGTTTGGATTTGCCATAGTAGCTGCAGCTTTTAATGAAGATGAAGATAGCGAACCTGAGGAAATGCCTCCAGAAGCAAATATGAGGATGAAGAATATTGGAAGGGACACACCAACATCTGCAGGATCAAAGTCTTTCAATAAAGGAAAGCATGGGTATTCATACTTTGTAAATAAATCAACAAAGGAAAGCATGGGTATTCATACTTTGTAAATAAATCAAAGTAATATAAAAAAATTAAAAATTAAAAAAAAATTTCCAGAAAACATACAAAGAATTGAATCAGGGGCGGGGCGATGCGAGAGAGGCGCGGCCAAGCCACAGCCCTCGGTTTTCTAGTTTACACGCCAGCGCTGTGAGCATGTGGAGAACAGGGTGGCGGTCAAGGGGGCAGCCCGGATGCTCCTTTCCGCAGCAGGCCTCCCTTTCAGGGCAAGAGCATCAGAGGCGCGCTGGCTCCTGGAGCATTTCCAGTCAGAGGTCCCTAACTTGTGCTGAGAACAGTGCTCGCGCATGCGCAAGGTGGGCGGGGCGTCGTCTGTGACGCACTTTTCGAGTCTCCGCCCCCTGGCGCCCTCATATATAAGACTTTGCCTGGCTTTCGCACTCAGAGAAGTGGAAGAGGGCATCTAGTGCAGCTTTGACGTTGTCAGAGGGGGGAAATCAAGGACTCGGGCAGACTCGGACGTGTGTCCACGCCTCGGAGGTGGCAGCAGGCGGTGCCTCCTAGCGAGGCGGCCATGGAGCTCTTGAGGACTATCACCTACCAGCCGGCTGCCAGCACCAAGATGGGCGAGCAAGCACTGGGCAAGGCTTGCAGCGGGCACTCGAAGAAGGAGCAACAGCAGCAGTACCCGGAGGAGCCGCAGACCCTGCAGCCCGCACCTCAGGTGCAGCCAGTGGCTCCAGACCACCATGACCACCACTCCCACTCTGGGACGGAGATCTCACGGATTATCGTTGATCCCACGACGGGAAAGCGCTACTGCCTGGGCAAAATGCTGGGCAAGGGTGGCTTTGCAAAATGTTATAAGATGACAGATATGACAAATAACAAAGTCTGTGCTGCAAAAATCATTCCTCACAGCAGAGTAGCTAAACCTGATCAAAGGGAAATGATTGACAAAGAAATAGAGCTTCACCGAATTCTCAACCATAAGCATGTGGTGCAGTTTTATCACTACTTTGAGGATGAAGAAAACATTTACATCCTCCTGGAGTACTGCAGCAGAAGGTCCATGGCACATATCTTGAAAGCTAGAAAGGTGTTGACGGAGCCAGAAGTTCGATACTACCTCAGGCAGATTGTGTCTGGACTCAAGTACCTACATGAACAAGAAATCTTGCACCGAGATCTCAAACCAGGAAACTTTTT